GAACCAAATAAGCCTGACCTAATCTACCTTACCTAGTACGATAAAGACTCGGAAGAGGTCTACCATGGAAACTACTAACAAGAATAGGTTTTCCTAGTGTATTTCATGATGTTTTAATCGAATCTGACCTTCATTTCCGTCGAAAATGAGCCCTTATGGAAATATGACACCCTCCCGCACTACCAAAGCGGCAGGATTTGGAAAAAAGGGAAATTGTGGGGTAACAACACGAAAACCTAACCTAACCTATTGTGGTAGTCCTCGGGTCACTCTCCCTATTGTGGTAGTCCTCGGGTCACCCTCCCTATTGTGGTAGTCCTCGGGTCACCCTCCCTATTGTGGTAGTCCTCGGGTCACCCTCCCTATTGTGGTAGTCCGAAGTTGCTGAGGAAACTGTACCCCAGGGACCCAAGTAAGGTGTACCCAGGTCAACTGAGTCCATCATACTACCCTGTCTGTCTCTGTCTCTTAGAGATAAACTTGCACTTGGTTCATGATTTTACTGGGAGGCTACTTGACCCTCTTTGCCAATTATAGACACATGTCCAGTGTCGAGTGCAGTACTGGCCATGCTGCCCCCTTGTGTCCCAAACGGGCAGTCATGCCAATGGCACCCACTCTCAGTGTGTCAAGGCCTGTGGAAGCGTTTGTATACTTTTAGTTATATTAAATTATATGGGACTGTGGGCGGCAGGGACATGGCTACCCCTTACGCTGGAACAGTTGCAGAAATGTGTTCCTACTCCCCTTGTGGTAACCCGTGTCTCCAAACGGCCAACCTACTGTATATGAACTATAGCAAACCTATCCCCCAATCACGTCCGTCGTTACACGACCAATGCCCATTCATTCATAAACAGTGATACTACTACTGCGACGGTGCCGTTTGGAGACACTGGTTACCACAGGGGGTGTAGGAACACATCTCCGCAACTGTACCTCCTCTCACCTCCTTCCCTCACTAAGCCATAACGCCATCACCATCACCTTCACTTCCTCCACCTCTCTCCACACTTACTCCCGTCACCACACCACACCACCTCATCTCCTTCTCGCTCCTCTTCCTCCCCTCTCCTCACCTCCTTTACCCCTCACTAGGTAAACACAACGCCCTCACCTCCTCCCTCACCCTTCATGTCGTCCTCAGTACGTCGCTTCCCAGCATTTACAGTAATTCAACAAGTGTTATTTTTTTTAATTTATTGTAGGTTTTCATCGCCTTTCTATCTATCTATCTATCTATCTATCTATCTATCTATCTATCTATCTATCTATCTATCTATCTATCTATCTATCTATCTATCTATCTATCTATCTGTCTGTCTTCAATAAGTGTTTTAAATGTTGTTCGTTTCTCTTATTAGTTTACCTACCCATCCATTCATCTAGCTATATATATATATATCCATCTCTCTATCTATCTGTCCATCCATCTATCAACTCATCTACCAATCCTTCTATCACTCCATATATCTATCCATCCATCTATCTATCCATCCATCAATCTATTCATCCATCTACCCATCTACCAAACAAATACATTATTTAAATCAGCCAGATGGAGCTTTTATTATTATTTATATTTTAGGCAGCAGTAAAACATAGGCGTTAGTGTTATTGAAGACTTCCCAGTAAGACTTAATAATGCATATTTGATTCACCATTGTATTTGCCAATGGGTTAAGTTGATCTTGGGGAAATGTTCGGTTTAGTTTCGCCAAATTAATGTCATCTGTCTCAAATTTCACCTGGCTGCTCATATACAGTGAGGTGATATTGCTAAGCCATCCATTTTTTTCAGGAAAGTTTCTGGTATTTTAAACGAAACTTATTGTAGAAATGAAATCACTGTGAGTGTTGATTGATATTTTCAAAGTTGTAGAGATTTAGTGGATAATCTTATTTATTTTACTTAATACTTGAAGCAAGTTTTTGGTTTGTTAATTAAGTGATCACAGGAGTAAGGTTCCTCTCTCCCTCTACTTGGTTTCTCTGATGAAGACAATCGACTTAGTCTCCACACGACCAGCTGCTCCTATGTTTGAAAACTTGTATTTTTTAAACTAATTTATCCACTTAATGAGAAAACTCAAAATGCTTATAATTAAAGATTATTTTCTTCAAAATACTTTAAGAAAAATAATTAAATTAAATTATTTATATATATATATATATATATATATATATATATATATATATATATATATATATATATATATATATATATATATATATATATATATATATATATATATATATATACAGTTAAACTATACTGTATATATAATTAAAAACTAAAATTAAACTGTTAATAAAAAAAAATTAATTAATTTATAAAACAAATATTTATACCACCCAAAAAATCAGCAAGAAAATATAGGACATTTTCTGAGATTTACTTTAATTAAAAAGACAAAATCTGGCAGGTCCCTCCATAGACTGTCTCGAAGGCCTTGTTGTTCCTAAAATCTAAGTATTTGTAAAAGACTTTACCTACTAAAGAAAATAATTTTTTTTAGAAAATTACAATTTCTAAAAAGTGCAACATCTATAATTTCTTTACAATTCCAAAACCTGACCAAAGGAAAAAAAATCACTCGTTACAAGCAAGCTGTAAAGGTGAGAACTACTAATAACCAATAGTCTAAATAATTTTGTATTTCCATGCCAGGAAGAGTAGAATAATTATTATGTCATGTAAATGTAACTGAAACTAATCCACCTAACATCTGACCTGAGATAAATGTGGGAGTGTAACTTAGAATGTTTTTTATTATCTTCACTGGTTTGATGTTTTACTTCCTCCAGATATTGTAATACAACAATACCAAGAAAGTCACGCAACAATACTGCCATGCAACAATACCAAGTAAGATATGCAATTATCCTGAGAGTCATGCAAAGTGTACTGTACTTTAGGGGAAATTCATACATAGAAACTTAGCTTTAAAGAATATTGGTTAAATAGTAAGTCAACAGAGGCTCTGGAGCTCTTGTGGTGCAGAGTCGTTGTGCAAAGTATTAAGTGCCGCCTCCTCCTCTATCTTTGCAGAAAAGCTTATTTTTTTCCCCTCGTAAAATTGAGTCGAGGAAATAATCCGCTGCCTGATGTTGACAGGAAGTATTATTGGCTAGACGACCACAACCACCACAGCCCACCACAGCCACCCACTACCCGCCGTCGCTGCCACCACCTACCACTGCCACCACCAATTACCCACTACCACCACCCACCACTACCATCTGTCAAAAAAGCCCTTAAAGCTGTAATCAAGAATGAACTTATTAATGAATTCGACGCAAGCAGACAAGTACAAACGGAAATAGGCAATCTATTGTTACCATGATGAGATGTATCAAGAGAAAAATATATATGGAGCAAGTAACAAGATCACTAGATTACAAGATGTTGTAACCGCTAGACTAAGGTTAGGACATAAGTACCTCTGACAGTATATTCCTCAAGCAGATGTGAACAAAACTAAATGTAAAGTGTGTGGTCAAACGTATGGCCACACACTTGAACACTACGTCCTCGACTGTGTGAAGAGAGAAACTTTCAGGGACAGGTCCAAGCACACTGTGTGTGAAATGGCATAAGACTTCATTCATCTCTAATGGCAAGATAGCTGACATATTAAGATTGTATCCACTTTTTTGGACTTAACACCAAAGTCAATTCTTACAGAACTAAACACACAATGTGCTTGAATACTTCTAACGCAGATGTGAATAACAAACTGTGCGGCCACACATATTGCCTCACACTGCTGTACTCACGCACTTGTTAATAAGTCAGTAGTTACCCTCTAAGTACAGAGCTAAACAAACAATGTATTTGAAATACTCCGTAACATTCAATGCCATAATATCCTGACCACTGGGGTCTGTTATACACACCCTTTGTGACCTCTACTCAGCAGTTCTCTAGCGTTACCTCTCACAAAACGTGTGGGGTGCACAGTAAACTAGCAGCTGTACGTGGCCAAACTTATAAAAAATCAAATTCATCACCACCCACCATCTCCACCAACCCCACCACCACCACCACACCCACTACCACCACACCACCACCACACCCACTACCAACCCCACCACCACCAACACACCCACCACCAACCCCACCACCACCAACACACCCACTACCACCAACCCCACCACCACCACACCACACTACCAGCCCCCCACCACCACAATCCACTATCACCACACAGTAAAGAAAGTGATAGATAAAGAGTGAGTCCCTTTGATGAAGTCGTCGAACAAACAGTAATTGAGAGAGAGAGAGAGAGAGAGGACGAATGTTGTGTAAAAGTGTTCATTAAATACCTTTATATCGACCGTGCAATGTGTACAACATCTGGTAATAGGTAAGACATCAACATATATTATCACATCAACATTAATTGTGCCCCCTTCCACCCACACACACACACAAAACGACTAACGAGAAGAACAGGAGAAGATCAGAAGGTCCAGCAGTAAAAAGTTCCTACTCTTGATCAGGAACTAACGAGAACTTACGTCCAGGACTTTAATACCATCACCAACACGAGTAATTCAACACTGGCATTCTTCTCCTCTACTCGAGATGGCAAATAAACACTCCGTCCACCTCCTGCTACAAGCGATGATCAATTTTAATGGCATGAGTCTTCGTATGTGTGTTTGTGTATGAGATAGAGATGATTAATATCCACTGACTCCCACTGTTGAAGAGCACTGTGTTTCGGGTAGTGAGTTTGATAGCATCAGCCTGGGAAGTACAGCGAAGGAGAGGATCATATGAGCTTGACACTTGTAGACAGGGTGATACTTGTAACCAGGGACCTTGTACCATCACCAACACGAGTAATTCAACACTGGCATTCTTCTCCTCTACTCGAGATGGTAAATAAACACTCCGTCCACCTCCTGCTACAAGCGATGATCAATTTTAATGGCATGAGTCTTCGTATGTGTGTTTGTGTATGAGATAGAGATGATTAATATCCACTGACTCCCACTGTTGAAGAGCACTGTGTTTCGGGTAGTGAGTTTGATAGCATCAGCCCGGGAAGTACAGCGAAGGAGAGGATCACATGAGCTTGACACTTGTAGACAGGGTGATACTTGTAGCCAGGGTGATACTTGTAGCCAGGGTGATACTTGTAGCCAGGGTGATACTTGTAGCCAGGGTGATACTTGTAGACAGGGTGATACTTGTAGACAGGGTGATACTTGTAGACAGGGTGATACTTGTAGCCAGGGTGATACTTGTAGCCAGGGTGATACTTGTAGCCAGGGTGATACTTGTAACCAGGGTGATACTTGTAACCAGGGTGATACTTGTAGCCAGGGTGATACTTGTAACCAGGGTGATACTTGTAGCCAGGGTGACTTGTAGCCAGGGTGATACTTGTAACCAGGGTGATACTTGTAGCCAGGGTGATACTTGTAGCCAGGGTGATACTTGTAGCCAGGGTGATACTTGTAGCCAGGGTGATACTTGTAGCCAGGGTGACACTTGTAGCCAGGGTGATACTTGTAGCCAGGGTGATACTTGTAGCCAGGGTGATACTTGTAGCCAGGGTGATACTTGTAGCCAGGGTGATACTTGTAGCCAGGGTGATACTTGTAGCCAGGGTGATACTTGTAGCCAGGTGATACTTGTAGCCAGGGTGATACTTGTAGCCAAATTGATACTTGTAACCAGGGTGATACTTGTAGCCAGGGTGATGCTTGTAGCCAGGGTGATACTTGTAGCCAGGGTGATACTTGTAACCAGGTGATACTTGTAGCCAGGGTGATGCCTTAACAGGGTGATGTAGCCAGGGTGATGCTTGTAACCAGGGTGATACTTGTAGCCAGGGTGATACTTGTAACAAGATTGATACTTGTAGCCAGGGTGATACTTGTAACCAGGGTGATGCTTGTAGCCAGGGTGATACTTGTAGCCAGGGTGATACTTGTGTGAGGTGATACTTATGGCAGAATGCTTGTAACCAAGGGTGATACTTGTAGCCAGGTGATACTTGTAGCCAGGGTGATACTTGTGGCCGGGGTGACCACTTGTAGCCAGGGTGATACTTGTAACCAGGGTGATACTTGCTTAGCCAGGGTGATACTTGTGGGGTGATACTTGTAGGGTGATACTTGTAACCAGGGTGATACTTGTAGCCAGGGTGATACTTGTAACCAGGGTGATACTTGTAACCAGGGTGATACTTGTAGCGAGGGTGATACTTGTAGGCAGGGTGATACTTGTAACCAGGGTGATACTTGTAACCAGGGTGATACTTGTAGCCAGGGTGATACTTGTAACCAGGGTGATACTTGTAGCCAGGGTGACACTTGCAGCCAAGGTGATACTTGTAGCCAGGGTGACCAGCTTAGGTGCCAGGTGTGTATATTAATTGCATATATACATCACCCACAGCACATACAGTGGAATAGCTGAAGAATCAATGTTCAACAAACATGAATAAGAATGTACTGCAAACTTTCATATAATATATATATATATATATATATATATATATATATATATATATATATATATATATATATATATATATATATATATATATTTATATATATATCATGTAGATCCACACTGAAAATGGATAGATAAATCTTGATAAAAATATCGAAAAGGGAAACAACGGAGCACCTTAGCTTTCTGTCCTTATTCAAGACATCTTCAGAGGCAACCTCTAACCCTTCACACACCTTCTAACACTCCACACACCTCTATCACCCATCACACTCCTCACACCCTCACCACACCCACACACCCTCTAACACCCCACACACCCTCTAACATTCCACATTCACCTCTAACATACCAACAACCCATAACACTCCAGACACCTTTCTAACACTCTCCACATCCTTAGCAATCCACACACCCCACACAGCGGACCCCTTCAAACACACAACGGAGCACCTACTTTCGTCTTTATTCACATCTTCAGAGCAACCAACCTCCACACACCTTCTAACACTCCTACACCAACACTCCACACACCTCTAACACTCCACACACCCCCCCACCCACAAACCCCTAACACCCACACACCTGTCCAACACTCCACACACCCCCAACACCCACACACACCCCTCTAACACCCACACCCCACAACACACACCCCCAACACCCACACACCCCAACACCCACACCCCCAACACCCACACACCCCCACACCCACAAAGCGTCAACACACACACCCTAACACTCCACACACCCCCACCCACACACCCCCACCTCCACACACCTCTAACCTCACACACACCTCTAACACCACACACACCCCTCAACACTCCACACACCCCTCTAACACTCCACACACCTCTCTAACACTCCACACACCCTCTAACACTCCACAAAGCGCCTCTAACACCCACACACCCTCTAACACCCCTCACACACCCCTCTAACACTCCACACACACCCTCTAACACTCTACAAACCGCTCTAACACTCTACAAACCGCTCTAACACTCCACACACCTCTAACCCTCCACATACCTTCTAACACTCCACACACCCTCTAACACACACACACCACTCTAACACCCCACCCTAACACTCCACACCCCTCTAACACCCCACACACCCCTCTAACACACCACTCACCCCACACTGCCCACACCCCCTGTAACACCCCACACACCCCTATAACACTCCACACCCCCAACACACCACACACCCTCAAACACACCAAACACCCTCTAACACACCACACACCCTCTAACACCCCACACACCCTCTAACACACCACACACACCACCTAACACCCCACACACCCCTCTAACACTCCACACACCAAACACTCCACACACCCTCAAACACACCACACACTCTAACACTCCACACACCCTCAAACACACCACACACCCCCCAAACACACACACACCCCATCACACACACCCATCTAACCTCCACACACCCTCAAACACTCTACACATCCTCTGAAAGAGCCTCTGGGAAGCACTCTGGGGCACTGCTACATCTGGAGGGGCCACTAGGGGCGCCGCCCTGTTAGGGCCACTGAGGTTCCTCTGCATCTGGGAGGCCCCCTCATAGAGCCGACGCCCCTTGGAGTGCACCTGGGAGCACCGCCATCCTGAGAGGGGCCCCTGCAGTCGTTGCCGCCTCTGGGACCCCTACGGTCTGTTGTTTTTGGACTGTTTACAACTCTGAGATATTCTGAAATGAAATGGAGAATATATATCCAACAGGAAAACATAAGTTGGGGTGTTGTGCTGACTGACTGCTCTGTTCTCCTATTGGCTGTAATTTGGTGGATTTAGATTTAGTCCACCAATCACAGTTAAGTAAGTGATTGCTGGACGTATGCATTATGTACGACACCACGAGCAGGTAAGCTATAGGGCTCCCGGAAGGGCGTCCCTGGTTGGGCCCCTGGGGTCACTTACACCCTTAAGGATGGCCTTTCGGGGGCCACCTCTCCTGACAATGTCAGTGGAGTCGCCGCCAACCCTAACAATTGCCTGTAGGGAAATTGCCGCCCTTGGGAGGGTCCCTGGGAGCGCCTTGCCCATTGGGAGGGCCCCTGAGAGCGCCATCGCCTCTGGGAGACACTCGGATGCGCCTCCGCCCCTGGGATAGTCCTGGGGTGTCACCGGCTCTGGAAGGGCTCCTGAGGGCGCCACAGACCTGGTATAGCCTCTGGGAGGCACCTGGGGAACTGCTACCTCTAGGAGGGTCCCTAGGGGCGTCGCCTCCCTTGATAAGGGCATTAGATGGCGCCTCAGCATCTGGGAGGCACCTGTCGGCACACCTATTACCTCTGGCATGGCCCCTGGGTGTGCCACCAGCCTGAAAAGGCCACTGGGTGACAACCTCCCCTGGCAGTGCCCTGGAATCGCCGGCACCCCTAACGATTGCTCGTGGGGGCGCTGCCGTCGTTAGGAGGTCTCTTAGGGCACAGTCCCCCCTTTGAAACCCCTAAGGGTGTCCTCCATCCTAGGAGGGCCTGGGAGCCCTCGCTCATTGGAAGGGTCCCCAAGTGCGCCGTCGCCCGGGGAGTGCCCCCGGGGTGCCACCCTGGAATGTTCCTTCTGGGCGCCGCAGTCTGGCAGAGCCCCTGGAAGACCCCTGGAAGTACTTCTGCCTCTGGAAGGGGCCTCTGGGGGCTCCGCCCCTCCACATCCGGGGAGGCCCTGGGGAACCTACGCCCCTGGGAGCGCTGCCACTCCTGAGAGGGCCCCTAAGAATGCTACCGCCGCTGGGAGAACCCATGGCAGCACCGCCGCCTCTGGGAGGATCCCTGAGGGCGCTGTTGCCCCTGGGAGGACCCCTGTGGGCAGTTGTTTTTGCACTATTTAGAAGTCTAGGAGATATGACATTCAATAAGTACACCGCCTATTGCATTTCCAGTATCATCGCATCCTGAAATTAAAAGTATAATAAATATTCAACAGGAACACATAAGTTGCGGTGTTGTGCTGACTGACTGCTCTGTTCTCCCTCAATAACTGCACACACCCCTCTAACACTCCACACACCCCTCTAACACTCCATACATCCCTCTAACACTCCACACACCCGTCTAACACTACACACACCCCTCAAACACACCACACACACCCCTCTAACCTCCTCACATCCCTCTATCCACACACTCCTACTACAACCCATGACATTTCCAGTAACATCTTATTCTGAAATGAAATGGAGAATAAATATCAACAGAAAACAATAAGTTTGGGTGTTGTGCTGACTGACTGCTCTGTTCTCCTATTGGCTGTAATTTGATGGATTTAAATTTTAGTCTCCAATCACAGTTAAGTAAGGGATTGCTGGGCGTATGCAATATGTACGATAAAATGTCTAAAGCAAGCTACTTGGCTCCTGGAAGGGACAGCGGAAGGGCCCCTGGGATCGCTGCCACCACTAGGGATAGCCCTGGGCCACCTCTCCTGGCAGTGTCTCTGGAATCGCCGCCACCCCAAACAATTGCCTGTGGGGACCTGCCACCCGTGAGAGGGTCTCTGGGAGTGCCTCGACCATTGGGAAGGCCCTGAAATGCTGCCACCCATGGGAGAATCTATGCGGCGCTGCCGCCCTAGGAGGCCCCTTGAGGTGCTACCGGCTCTGGAAGGGCCTCTGGGGCGCCACAGCCCCTAGCAGAGACTCTGAGGAGCACCTGGGAGCACTGCTACCTCTGGGAGGGTCCCTATGGGTGACGTCGCCCTGTTAGAGCCACTAGAGGCTCCTCTGCATATAGGGAGGGCACCTGGGAGCATCGATATACCAGAGAGGGCCCCTGGGGGCGTTGCCGCCTCTGGAAGGACTCCTACAGTCTGTTGTTTTTGCACTGTTTACAACTCTGGGAGATATGGCGTTACATAAGTACGCACATGACATTTCAGTAACATCGCATTCTGAAATGAAATGGAGAATAAATATCAACAGGAAAACATAAGTTGGGGTGTTGTGCTGACTGACTGTTCTGTTCTCCTATTGGCTGAAATTTGGTGGTTTTACATTTTAGTCCTCCAATCACAGTTAAGTAAGTAATTGCTGGGTGTATGCAATTTGTACGACACCACGACCAAGCAAGCAACAATGCTCCTGGGAAGAGGCACCCCTGGTAGGCTCCCCTGGGGTCGCTGGCACCGCTAAGGATGGCCCCTGGGAGGCCCCTCGTCTGGCAGTGACCTTGGAATCGCCGCCATCCCTAACAATTGCAATGTAGGGACGCTGCCACCCTTGGGAGGGTCTCTGGGAGTGCCTCGCTAATTGGGAAGGCCCCTGAAATGCCGCCGCCGCTGGGAGAACCTCTGGCGGTGTCACCGCCCCTAGGAGGCCCCTTTGGGTGCTACTGACCCTGGAAGGGCCCTTGAGGGCGTCACAGCCTCCGGGAGAGCCTCTGGGAGGCACATGGGAGCACTGCTACCTCTGAGAGGGCCCTTTGGGGTGCCGCCAGCCATGTTAGGGCCATTAGAGGCGCCTCTGCATCTGGGAAGGGCCCTGATGGAGCCGACGCCCCTTTGAGAGCCCCTGGAAACGTCGCTAACCCTGAGAGGGCCCCTCTGGGCTCTATTGCTCCTGGAAGGACCCTTACAGTCTGTTGTTTTTACACTGTTTACAACTCTGGGAGATATGACGTTATTTACATAAATAAGTACACTGCCAATGACATTTCCAGTAACATCGTATTCTGATATGAAATGGAGAATAAATATCCAACAGGAAAACATAAGTTGGGGTGTTGTGCTGACTGACTGTTCTGTTCTCCTATTGGCTGAAATTTGGTGACGTTACATTTTAGTCCACCAATCACAGTTAAGGAAGGGTTTGGTGGGCGTATGCAGTATGAACGAAACCAAGACCAAGCAAGCTACTGGGCTCCCGGGAAGGGGCGCCCCTGGTAGGGCCCCTGGGGTCGCTGCCACCGTTAAGGATGGCCCCTGGGGGGCCCATCTCGTCTGGCAGTGCCCCTGGAATCGCCGCCATCCCTAACAATTGCCTGTGGGGACGCTGCTACCCTTGGGAGGGTCTCTGGGAGTGCCTTGCTCATTGGGAGGGCCCCTAAGATGCCGCCGCCCCTGGGAGAATCTCTGGCGGCGCCGCCGCCCCTAGGAGGCCCCTGGGGGTGCTACTGGCCCTGGAAAAGCCCCTGAGGGCACCACAGTTTCTGGCAGAGCCTCTGGGAGGTACCTGGGAACACTGCTATATCTGGAAGGGCCACTAGGGGCGCCACCGCCCTGTTGGGGCCACTAGAGGTTCCTCTCTGCATCTGGAGGCCCCTGGGAGCGCCGCTAACCTGAGAGAAGGCCCTGGTGGCCTACCGGCCTGGAACGACCAACGGGCAGTTGTTTTTGCACTGTTTACAACTTTTAGAGATATGACGTTACATAAATACACTCACTACCATCGCATTTCCAGTATCATTGCATCCTGAAATGAAAAATAGAATAAATATCCAACAGGAAAACATAAGTTGGGGTGTTGTTCTGACTAACTGCTGTTCTCCTATTGGCTGAAATTTGGTGGTTTACATAGTCACTATCACAGTTAAATAAGAATTGCTGGGCGTATGCAATATGCGACACAACGACCAAGCAAGCAACAATCCTCCTGGGAAGAGGCACCCTGGTAGAGGCCCTGGGGTCGCTGCCACCGCTAAGGATGGCCCTGGGGAACCCCTCGTCTGGCGTGACCTTGGAATCGCCGCCATCCCACTTCTATGCCTTTGGGGACGCTGCCACCCTTGGGGAGGTCTCTGGGAATGCCTCGCTAATTGGAAGAGGCCCTGAAATGCCGCCACCCCTGGGAGAACCTCTGGCGGTGTCACCGCCCCTAGGAGGCCCCTTTGGGTGCTACTGACCCTGGAAGGGCCCTTGAGGGCGCCACAGCCTCTGCCAGAAGCCTCTGGGAGGTACCCGGGAGCACTGCTACCTTTGGGATGAACACTGGGGTGCTGCAGGCCATGTTAGGGCCATTAGAGGCCGCCTCTGCATCTGGGAAGGAACCTGATGGAGCCGACGCCCTTTTGAGAACCCCTGGAAGCGTCGCTAACCTGAGAAGAGGGGCCCCTGTGGGCTCTATTGCCCCTGGAACACCTACAGTCAGTTGTTTTTGCACTGTTTACAACTTTGAGATATATGACGTTACATAAGTACACTCACTACCATCGCATTTCCAGTATCATTGCATCCTGAAATGAAAAATAGAATAAATATCCAACAGGAAAACATAAGTTGGGGTGTGGTTCTGACTAACTGCTGTTCTCCTATTGGCTGAAATATGGTGGTTGTTTTAGTCACAATCATAGTTAAGTAAGGAATTGCTGGGCGTATGCAATAATATGCGACCTCTGACCAAAGCAAAGCAACAATCCTCCTGGGAAGAGCACCCTATTGAAGGGCCCCTGGGATCGCTGCCACCGTAGAGATAGCCCCTAGGGGTCCCTCGTCTGGCAATGCTCGCCCGGAATCGCCGCCATCTAACAATTGCCTGTGGGGACACCTTGTCGCCCTTGGGAGGGTCCCTAGGGCGTCTTGCCCATTAGGAGGGAGCCCCTGGAGCGCCACCG